GTGTGTAAAGTGATCAGAAGATCACTTTGGTAGCTAAGTAGAGGTAGTGATGACAACAAAGCTACATAAAGTTTGTACAGCCTTGTACCTACCCCCTCTTTCTCCATCTCACTTGAGTCACACAACAACCCTGTGAGATATTATACAGGTATTATTATTCCCATTTTACACATGAGGAAACTAAAGCCAAAGAGCAAAGTAGTTTAGGAAATAAAAAGAACTCTGACAAAAGATTCTTGATTGTTCTGATCTGTTTTCTCCAAGGTTCTTTCCTTAAATGCTTTTGCCTTCACTTTCTTCCCAAATTTCTTTGTATGTATGTATATGTGGTGTGTGTGTGTGTGTGTGTGTGTGTGTGTGTGTGTGTGTGTGTGATGCTTTGTGTGTGGTGTGTGTATATTTGTGTGTGTATGCTCATCTTCCACCTCCGTGATTTTTCATAGACTCCTCCATTCCTGGAATCCTCTCTGCCCTCACCTTTGGCTCTTGGAATCCTTTCAAGGCTTGCCTGTGGTCAAATATCTAGTGTTAGAGAGATAGGATGTGAACCATGGTATTCCTGACTCCAAGTGCAACATGCTAACTTGAATCCATCTTCCCTGATTCATTGGAATGTGGATTTGGATTTGGAAAGGATTTCAGAGGTCATAGCTTCTACTTCCTTCATTTTAAAAAAAAAAAAGATGTAGAAGCTAAAGCTCAGGGACATCATGTGATCTACCCAACAGCATATAGAAGTGAAGTGGCAGTGTCAGGATTTGAACTTACCTCCTTTGCTTCCCAATGCAGTACTCTTTCTACTGCACCACATTGCCTCCTTGTTTCTACAGTATCCCTGGACACCTTTGAGTGACCTCTAAGATAGTAACTTCCAGCAAGCCACCATTTGTTTGCCATGACTACATCTCCCAGGCCTCCCGGAAAGACAGAGTTCTGGGTTACAGCCATCTTGTCTTGGTGGTCGAGATAGCTTATTTTTGTCTAGACTCAGTTGTTAATGTTACAATTTATACCTAAGTGAGTAAATAATGGAAGTTCTTTTCAAATATTCCCCCTTCCTGCTAATATATTTGTTTTCCTGTGCCACTTTCTTTATGTCAACCAGCCATCTGGGCTCTCAGATTTGATTAGCAGATTGAAAGCCTTCCTCAATAATGACTGTTAATTTTCATTTCTTAAAGGAATAGACATCTGAATACATACATATGTTCATTTATCAGAGCTCCAAGGAGGTGTCCAGGAGTTCTGTGTGTGGGACATGAATAATTTTGTGAAAACGTGGGTGGTGATTGTGTGATACATCCACACAGCTTTATAAAACAAAGTAAATGATTACCATCAATTACAATAACATCATTTGACAAGCCTGCAATTAATCTGCTGCTCTTCAGATAACTGTTGTTGCACATTGCCAGTGAAAATGCCAGGCATTAATTGACTCATCACTATCGGCAGTGATAGATAGTACAGATGGTAATTCGATTATTCATCTTCAACAATGTAAATAAACTTGCTGGAAATCATTCTTCAGGTTTCCCTCAAAGGATCCTTCAGAATCCACCAACAAAATATGAATATGTTCAAGCATGAGAAATAATGGGATTTTAGTTAATGCAAAGGTTCAGATCTGCCCAGGAAACTCCAGAAATACATCGTGTTCTATGCACAAAATGCATAGAACAGAAGTTCTTAACATGGACCCTGTACTTTCAGATAGATCATGAACTTGAATGGGAAATAAATTACATATGTATTTCAATATAATTGGTTTCCTTCACAATCCTATATATTTCATTTTATGCATTCACAAACATTATTTTGAATAAGGGTCATAGGTTTTACCAACTTGCCAAAGTAGGGTCTATGTCACAAAATAAGGTTAAATAAGACCCCTGGAAAATATCTTAAAAATGGAAAGTATCATTGTGTCTAACTCAGCATGATGAGGCAGAAAGATCACTGAGTTCTGAATCAGTGAACCTGGGTTCCAATCCTGACTCTGCTACTTACTAACCATGTGGCCTTAGAAAAATCACTTGTCCTCTCTGGGTCTCAGTTTCTTCATCTGTAAAATGAAGGCCTTCCCCCAAGGTCTCCTCTAGCTCCAAATTAATGAGCCTTACACTTTTTCATTTTACATCTAGGCAAACTGGGGCTCAGAGATATTAAAGTGATGTACCCAAGGTCACATAACAAGTTAATGACAGACCCAGAATTAGATGCCACTTCTCTTGATTTGGATTCCACCATTTTCCCCACTGCATTAGATAGTTTTTTTAGAGTCCTGCATGCTGTTCTGTATGATAATCAGACAAGACTTCTCCTTGATTAAGACATTCTTATAGTTCAGTTTCTTTTCCAGCCCACTAAGGTGCCCTTCTTTAGTCCAGTAAAGCTTTATTAATTCATACTTTACTCATTTGAATTTTAAGACAATTTAGATAGTGAGTGGACTTGTTGGCTTTAATAATTCCATTCTCCATTTGGGAATATAAGTTAATCATATAAACCAGACTACTCAATATGCCAGAATTTAAATTCTCAATAGAAGAGCTTGTTTTTAGGTACCCTCCAGTACCTAGAAGTAACCATTTGCATACTTCTGGCAAGCTAGTTATAAATCATGCTTATTTATTCATTAAAAAGCAGGCAATCTATAAGGACTTCTATGAGGCTATGTGCTAGCCTTCTTGAAAGCAATATGTACTTGAAAGTAATATAACTATGTTTCTTAATATAGACATGCACACCTACATGGAAGAAATCCCAAAAGCTTTAGTGCAGTTCTTAAACTTTAATAGTTTAAAAACCTTTGCTAAGATTTTTGGGAACTGTATATAACTAGACAGACAGAGAGATAGGAAAATGGGATAAGTAGAGGACAAACAGGATTGAAAAGTTCACTGTGTTAGGCAGGATTTTTTCCACAATCTGAGATTTTACTTTGTTACCCAATACCCTTTCTATCACCACCAAAAAAAAGAAATCAAGAACAGAAAATAACCAATGTAGATGAAGAATGAACATTTCCATACTGTGTCCATTTAGATGGGTGGCCCATTGAGTTAGTCTATCAGTATAAATATCTCAGATATGCAGTATAGATATCTCAGGGGGAGATCAGATTGGATCACACTTGAGAAATTACATAGAAGCTTTAATGATCTCAAACTTTTCCCCGCTGCCAAAGCCTATCTTTTCAATATCAGATTTGTCCTCATTATGCTTTGTGGCTATAGATCATGGAGCAGCATGATCTCAGAAGAATCAAAACTGTAGATGGCTCAAAGGGCAATGAAGATATTTGTGGTGGGGCTAAGTTGGCTATGACATAGCTTTTATGAAAGAGGCAGCATAAAAGATTATCACGGCCACATGTGACTAGAACAGGAAAAGGGCCAATCATGTAGCGAAAGTGAGAGTCAGTTTAAACAATTTAGAGAGAGAAATGTAGAGACAGAAGAGCACCCAGGGCAGAGCCTTGGGAAACATCAACAGTTAAAAAGTATGATATGGATGATAAGCTAGCAAAGGAGTCTAAGCAGGAGTGGCAAACCAGTGAGGAAAAGAACTGGGAGAGAATAATGTCACAGAGAAGAGAGAATATTCAGGAGGAGGGGGTGATCAACAGGTCAAAAGGCAGTAGAGACATCAGGAAGGATGAAGACTAAGGGAAGAGCATAACATCAGATTTGGTAATTTAGGGATCATTAGTAACATTACAGAGAGCAGTTTCAATTAAGTAATGAAGTTGGGCATCAAAGTGCAAAACATTAAGGAATGAATAAGCAGAGAAAAAGTGAAGACTGTGAGTCTAGGCTGCTTTTTCTGGGAGGATTTTGGCTGAGAAAAAGAGAAAAAATATAAAATAATGAAGTGTGTGTGTGTGTGTGTGTGTGTGTGTGTGTGTGTGTGTGTGTGTGATAGGTTCTAGTGAAGGTTTTTAAGGATGGGAGAGATGTAGGCATATTTGAAGGCAGTAAGGAAGAAACTGATATGTTAGGGGAGATTGGAGATAGAGAGTGAGGACAACTGAGACCATAATCTGCTGGAGAAGATGAATAGGGATGGGATCAAGGGCACATATAGAGGGACTGGCTTTGGGAAGAATAAAGGCCATCTTATTGCAAGAGGCTTGGAGAAAGGAGAAATATGTGTACAATGTTGACATAAAGAGAAAGGGATAAGAGAGTGAATGGTGTAGTGCCTTACCAATCCAAAGTGTTCTTACAGATATTATCTCAGGGACACCAAAGGAGTGATAAAGATATCTGCTAAAAACTCAAAAATAGAAACTAGTAGCTGTACTATTTATAAAAGAACTTTGACTTGATGATCACTTTTGAGTTTAGTGGAAAGAAAATGGGTTTAATTGGTGACCTGCTTAGCAAAGATCACTCCACAAATGACCTTAGCTTAACAAATTCTATTTAGCTTTCTCTGGGGTCACACAAGGCCACCCATAATTTACAGGAACACATTATGACGCAGCTGTTTTATAGGAGATCAGTCATACAAGTCTGGCATTTGACAATTATTTGACATGCATTAAAACTGGGTCCCATGACATACATATGGCAAGGGGGGGGCTGTTTTTGAGTTTAGACTATGATATATGATACACGATTCACCAGTTGTAGAAGAGGGTGTTATAAGGAGGTTCATAGTAGAGGTGAGGAATTATGGTTCAAATACAATTCCCTAAGAAACTCTCTGAGGATGGGAATCACATCTTCTAGTCAGCAAAAATCAAGTTTTAAAAAAATCCTTCCTCGGTATCTGGCACATCCTCAGCCATATTAAATTATAAGAGAAGACTGGAACCACTACAGCCCATTAGAAGCACTTTATGGACGTCTATATGGCATGTACTTGCTATATCCACCACTTGGTATCCCTGGATGTAGGTACCAATTCTTGTGAATGACAATTAGATGAAAATTCCTTTCTCCTTGGAAAGGGAAATAGCTTACATCAACAATTCCAGTCAGTTCACATACCTCCCCAGAGAAAGCCTGTCCGTTGAGTAGATGCTCTGACCCCTGGCTGTCCTCACTTCCAAAGTGTAACCGGATCTCTTCCAGGCGATGACTGTATGTCATGGGTCCTCCAGATATATTGACCAAATGTTCCTTGTCAAGTCGGAGGGACACATGCCTCCCTGTATTGTACATGGTCCCACTGACCTGAAAAACAATCCATGAAAGAATAAAGGTAAAGACTTTTTCCTTCCCGTTCTTCTTTTCATAAAATAATCACTAAACTTCTTCACAGATTTGGAGCAATAAACCTCAAAAAAAGGTGTGAAATAATTTACACATGATCCTGGGGGCTGAATTTTGAATAATTCCTTCTTTATTTATTGAATATGAATTCCGCACTTGTGGGTGGAGAGCTACTTTCTCCAATGAATTTGAGGCTTATGCTCTTAAACAAGATTTAATAATAATTAATTCATCAAACATTCATCAAGCACCTATATATGCAGAGCATGTTTCTGGGCCCTAGGAATACAGTGTTCAGCATAGACCTTGCTTCCAAAAAGTTTGCAATCCAATGATGGAGAGGAGGAAAAAAAATACAAATACCTAAATGCAAAAGAAAGGTCCAGGCAAAGCATTATGAGAAATTTTAGGAGGAAGAAATCACTTCTATATTGGGCAGGAAGAAGAAGAAGGTTATATTCATGGGGGAAATAGGATTTGAATTGGATTTTGAAGGAGAGGAAGGATTTTAAAATATCATTTACATATTTTTAAAAATATCTTCTACTCCAAAAATATCACTTCCCCTCCCCAACACAAGCCAGGCCTATTAATAAAGACTAAAAAAAAGATTTAAAAAACAGCAGATTTGTAAAACTAACCAAGACATTGAGCACCCCTGAACAGTATAGGTAATATTTCACGCACATAATCCCCATCTCTAATAAAGGAGGGAAAGAGGCATATTTTGTCAACTCTTATCTGGAGCCAACTTTGGTAATTTGTAATTACACAGAATCCAGTTTCATTTGTTGCTGTTGTTTGTAAAGGATTTCAACAGACAAGATGGAGAAAGGCTTCACATACACAGTGGCACGTGAGAAAAAGCAGATTTTCAGCATATAGCGATAGGTGTATTTTGCAAGTACTGTTTCCATGACAGCAAGATAAGGAACACCACTGCTTCCAAAGTACTGAAAACTGAGTACCACACAGAGAGCAATGGAAAGGAAAATGGTGGATATGAGCAGGCTACAACCAACAGGGAAAAGGGGTAAAGTTCATCATCAGATAATTATACGATAAGAAGAGGAGTTGACTGAATGGTAAGAATGGGGAATGACAGATGGACAGCCAAAGTGCTCCACTGGTACATTTGTGAGGTCAGAGACAAAAAAAAGGCCTTCAGCACATTAGGTGGACCCACTTTGTGGGTCAAAACTTTCAAAAGGACAAAATCAAGAGTTAAATTAGATGACATGGATGAGTTTTGAGCTATGCTGTTGATTTACTTGTACCATCTGTTTCTTTTGCTCCTACCTATAGGCTGCTGAATGGATCTGGAGAAAGTCACAGCATTGTGCTAATTGGGTATATTATAGATTCATGTTATCCAATTGGGCACTCACTACAGAAAGGCAGTTAAATAAATTTTCTCCATTACTGATCATCTTACTCCTCACAGAAACTATTCCAAACCTTCTTATCCTTTTTGACCTGCCTGGTGCATTTGACACTGATAACCATCCTCTTCTCCAGGACACTCTCTTCCCTGAATTTTCGTGATATTACTCTCTCTTAGTTCTCTTACCTGCATCACTGCTCCTTCTCAATCTCCTTTGCTGGCTTATAATCTATCTCATTCCTTTATTACTATGGATTTTCCCCAAGGTTCTATCCCAGGCTTTCTTCTCTTCTCTTTCTATACTCTTCCTCAGTAACCCAATGCATGTCCACAGGTTTAATTATCTCTCAACAGGGAACTCAAAGATCTATATATCCAATCATAGCATCTTTCCTGAGTTTTGGTCCTGTAGCATTTATTGTCTATTGGCAATTTTAAAGTAGATTTCCTGCTCACATCTCAAACTCATTATGTCCAAAGGGGAAACCCTTATCTTTTCTACCCAAAAAAAGGGCAGTTGAAGATTTTGGGAGAGAGATGACATTCACTGGAAAATGCAGGAGGTCATGAGATCAAGTGTATATTAAGTGGGCTTGTCTTTGTCAAAGTGAAGAGCTATCTCATTATCCAAGACTGCATGAAAGAAGTTCGGATCAGGGGATAATGCCAAGGGAAGGTACATTTATATGGATCATAAAACATACTTTCTATGAGATCTGAATAATGCCAACATTGAATTAAGGAACAGAAAGTGAAGGTACCTCTCAATTTAAGTATTAATAATTTATTGTGTTTCATCTTGTCAAAACTTAGTTCCTTTCTCCCTCCTTCCTAGGTTCAATTCCATTCCCATTTTCTGAACTTCCACAAAATGCCTCTGCTTCAGTCTTACCTCCATGCCCGGGGCCACCTCACCCTGGGACATCCAGCAGTCCCTATGTCTGTCTTAACCTAGAACATCCCTCCCCCATGTTGTTCAGTCATCTCAGTCATGCCTGACTTTTTGTGACCCCATTTAAGTTTTTCTTGGGAGTGATACTAGAATGATTTGCCATTTCCTTCTGTAACTCATTTCATGGATGAGGAAACTGAGGCAAACAAGGTTAAATGATTTGCCTAAGGTCACACAGCCAGTAAGTGTCTGAGGCCAGATTTGATTTTACGAAGCTTTCTGACTTCAGGCCAGGTACTCTATCCACTATCCACTGAGGTGTCCACTCCGCTGTATCAGCTTCCTTCTTCCACTGGTGATTTCCTTTATTTGGAACTAGCCAAACTATATTCCTTTCCCAGCTGTGCTTCTTTCTGGACTTCAACACTATACTACAAGTTAGATGCCTTCTCTCCTCTTTCCCTCATACCATGTTTTTTGTCTTGTGTTTTTATTGTAAATGTATCCCCAGCACTTAGCACAATGCCTGAACATAGTAAATACTTAATAAATGCTTGTTGCCTTGCCCTGCCTTACCTAGGTGAATGACATGGAAAGAGACATATGACAATCTTAAAATCCCAGGTGAGGAAATCTTAGGTGACATCTGAGTGTGATATAGATGCTCCATGATGTACTCTTCCTCAGCTGTCTCCTTCTTTGTCCTCCTACTTCCACTTGTCCACTCCCACAATAGGGTTTGCGTATGCTCAAAGGATCAGTTAATGAATGGGTATTTACTGACCTTCTCCTATGTGCTAAGTGCTATGAGGGATAAAAAAGAAGTAGAAAATGTAGTCCTTGCATAACAGGAATTTGATGTATTGTCATATCACTTAATACGTAGGTACCACATAGTAGGGAAACACAGACTGTCTTCTCCCAGAAGCAGGTTCCCACTCACCCACATGGATGTTTCCATCTCAAGAGTACAAAAGTGCTTTATTGCCTATGCAGATCATCTAACATGGAAGCACCCATGCAGTAGGGGAATACAGAACGTCTTCTCCCAGAAGCAGGTTCCCAGTACCTCCCACGTAGGTTATGTGGGTATTTATCAAACCCCTGTTATACTTGTCCTCAAGGAGCATGCAGTCTACAGCAAAATCTTCTAAGAAGTTCAACCATAATTGGGGGGAAGGGGAGGCAGAGCAGAGAACTGGGGAGTAGTTGAATAAGCCCTAAGGAATCTGAGAATCACCAGCTTTTAGAGCTGGAAGAAACCTGAAGAGACTTTCTCTTCTTTAATGTGCTCCATGTTAGCACTGTCATAAGGGAGAAGATTTATAACCTTAGTTTCTTCAAAGCCTTCTGTTTCTGGCACTCAATTGAGTTTTTATGGCTTGTGGTGAATGATAAAATATATTTGCATATATTGATACACAGAAAATCTAGAAGCAGTGAGGAGGGAGAGAGAAAGAAAGAGAGAGAGAGAGAGAGAGAGAGAGAGAGAGAGAGAGAGAGAGAGAGAGAGAGAGACAGAGAGAGAGAGAGAGAGACAGAGAGACAGAGAGAGAGAGCTCTTTGAATCAGCCTAGGGAGGCTAGTTAAAGAGCTGGCTTTTGATGTATAAAAGGGGGTCTCTGAAATTTAGGAATTTGTATTTTTTAATGCATGGTACAGTGTTCAGCAAAGAAGACTCATTTAGGAAAACTGATCTCTGTGTCCCAAATGTTTTCACATCTCACCCTCCCTTCCCAATTCTTTCCATGGTAGATGGAGAGGAATGAGAAGAGGAATGATGGTCTCCATTTTTCATATAGCAACACTGAATGACAAATTGATGGAGAAGCACATGGAGAATTGATACATTTGGGATGTATCTCAGTGGTAGGCAAACTACAGCCCAAGTGCTAAATCCAGCCCACTACCTACTGGATTTGGCCTGTGAGCTATAGTTTGCTGACCTCTGATCTATCTAATTAATTGTTTACTAATCCTAAAATGAGCTTATTCTTTTTGAAAAAATTTTTAAATGAATTTATTTGTTTTCAGTTTTCAACATTCACTTGCAAAAGATTTTGAGTTTTAAATTTTCTCCTCCCTATCCTCACCTTCCCCAAGACAGCATGCCATCTGATATAGGCTCTACGTATACATTCATATTAAACATATTTTCACATTAGTCATGTTGTAAAGGAGAATTAGAACCAATGGGAGGAACCACGAGAAAGAAGAAACAAAACAACAAAAAAAGAGCAAATAGTATGTTTCCATCTACATTCAGACTCCATAGTTCTTTTTCTGGATGTGGATAGCATTTTACCTCGTGGGTCTTTTGGAGATGTCTTAGATCCTTGCCTTGCTGAGAAAAGCTAAGTCTATCAAAATTAGTCATTGCACAATGTGGCTGTTATTGTGTACAATGTTCTCCTGGTTCTGCTTACTTCACTCAGTATCAGTCCATACAAATCTTTCTATGTTTTTCTAAAGTCTCCCTGCTCATCATTTCTTATAGCACAATAGTATTCCATTGCATTCATATACGACAACTTGTTCAGTCATTCCCTAATTGATGGGCATCCTCTCAATTTCCAATTTTTTGCCACCACAAAAAGAGCTGCTATAAATATTTTTGTACATGTGGGTCCTTTTCCCATTTTTATGATCAATGAGCTTACTCTCGATCTGTAAATGATGAA